ATCTTCCGCGCTTTTTTTTTTAAATTGAATTTCTGTCTTTTTGCAACAAATAGCTTGTTAAGCTCTTTATCCTCATCTCTTATTTTCTAAATTTCTTTATTCTAAAAATCCCCTAAACCTCAAAATTTTTCTTAAACACTTAAAAATCGCCATAGTTCACATAATCTCTCCCTTCTCCCGGTGTTAAAATCCTCTATATTTATCTTTTTTTATCTTAATTCACCGCTAACGCTTGTAAACCCATCAAACCCCACGGTATTCTTTCTATTTTTTTGTTATCTCTTCTAATCCTCCAATATCTGCATTTATCACGTTTTCCCCTCTTGATGCACTGATATTTTCCGATATCACTCAAATTGCCAATACTTTTTCTTCTAACGACTCTGTTGTCGTTATCCTCAACATACATTTTAAACTGCTTCAAACTTCAGCTAACTCTTGTTCTGTCCAGAACCCTATATCACTTTTAATCGCCTCCGAAATCTCAGATATCCCTTTTTAACTAAATAATATTATTAATACTCTGTTACCACCCCTGCATATTAATCCTCAAAATTGTCACTTTCACCCTTAATCCATTTTATATTCTTGTTCTCTTTTATCAAACAAAACAATTAAATATTGCTAATCCCCCAAAACCTTCACAAATCTCTTAGTTTCTCTACAAACCATCACATAATAATCCTCTTTTTAAAAAAATCTATGTGTCAAGTCTCTAAAGTCCTTAATTTGCCTACTGTTGATCTTTTCAAACCCCTTATCTATGTTAAATCCCCAAACCTTTAATTTTTCTTTTTTGAAAACATTGATTCACTATTAATCCCTCAAATCACTTAATATCTCTCTTAATTCATCGATCTTTTTAAACCTTTCTCAAAATCCACGTTATGCCGACAAAACGTGGATTATATTTGTTTATATCACTATTAATTGTATCAAATATATTTTGCTGAAAATTTGATAAGCTTAGCTTTGATAAAAACCCTGAATGTTTTCACAGCAAGATCCTTGTGCTTCGCGACGGCCGCCGCGAGCGAAGCGAGCGGCGGCCGCCGTATCAGAAATTTTTATGTTCGAGTGTTTTTAATTGTTTTTTGTTTTCAGAAAAAAAATTTTTAATTTCCTTTGGTCGTTCTGTCCTGATCTTTGCCTCTCATCAATGACGTACCTCTAACATTCAGGACCCTTTCCTCAACATTTTTCCTGAGTTTCCGCCCTTTTATCTAATCTTAATTAGTCTCTCATACTTTTTTAGACTTTGACTTAGACTATATCATAGTTCCTTATTCAGTAAATTCAAAAATTTTGAATTTCTATTATTTCAAATCCAAATTACTAAATAAACAACATTTTTGACTTATGCAATATTTTTTATCTTCCGTTTCAATTTAGTCTTTTGTATTTTTTACTAAGGTTAGACTTTTTATTATTTTAAGCTAGTTAGGCCTTTTGTACTTTTAACTCTTATGTCCTTTTGTGCTTTTTAAACCAGTTAGATCCTTTGTACTTTTAAATCTGTTTAGGTCTTTTGGACTATCTAAACTGATTAGGTCTTTTGTACTTTCTAATTGATTAGGTCTTTTGCGCCATCAACACTGTTTTGGTCTTTTGTTATTTAAACTGATTAGATCTTTTGTAATATCTAAACTGATTAGGTCTTTTGTTCTATCTAAACTATTAGGTCTTTTGTACTATAAAAACTGATTAGGTCTTTTGTACTGTCTAAACTGTTTTGGTCTTTTGTACTATATACACTGATTATGTCTTTTGTACTACCTAAACTGTTTAAGTCTTTTGTACTCTCTAAACTGTTTAGGTCTTTTGTACTATCTAAACTGTTTTGGTCTTTTGTACTATATAAACTGATTAGGTCTTTTGAACCATCCAAACTGATTAGGTCTTTTGTACAGTCTAAACTGATTATGTCTTGTGTACCTTGTTGTTGTGTACCATTTTGTCTGGGCACTCGATGTTTACATTTAAAATTTTGAAAGAGTCAGAGGAAAATCTTTTTCTCTTATTTAGTATGTTCTTTTCTTTTTTTTAACGCCTTGTTATTGTTTACGACTTTAGAAAACTTTTCGTTTCAATAAAAATTCTGTTTACACAATCAAAAAAATTTTCACGTGGACCATCAAATTAATATTATAAATTTTGAGTTTTACGATGCGCAACTTTTTTTGCGCGCGCTTATAAATTTACTTATTGTCTTAGAGTTATGAAATTTTGTATAAATATTCTTATTAGTGTCAACTAAATTTTCTAGAAATTTCAAAATTTTTGGTTTCTTATTTTTATAGTTATGGCCAAAAAACTAACTAAAAGTGGTCATTTTCAACTATAGACGTCACATTTTCGCCCATAACTTTTCTTTTACTAAACCAAAAATTTTGAAATTTTTTGATTATTTAAATAACAATCCTTTCTACATCCATGGAAAATTTCATAAATTTAGGTTAAGATGTGGCAAAGTTATAAGAGCTAATGTTTTTGACGACCCTCTCTCTCCAACAGTAACGTCACAGTCCTTCACCCTATATACATATTTTAATCTTTTTATTTTTTTTTTGTTTTCGTCACAAGACTCTTCAATATTTTTAAAAAATATATTTTCTTTTAACAAACAAAAATAAAGACAAAACTACAAAATTTTTTTTATTTTTGGCAATAAAAATAAATATTTTTATTTAAATAAAGCTTAAAAGCCAAGAAGCTTAGAAAGATTAAAAGTTTAAAAGAAGAAAAAAATAAATTTATTCACTCTTTAAATATTCGCAATTTTCACTTTTTATTTTTTTAAATTCTTTAAATTTTAAATTTAAATAAAAAAAAACAAACAAACTATAACCCTTGAATTTTTTTTTATTTTGAGCAAATTTCAATATTTTTGTGCTCACTTCGAGAGATTTTTTTTTCAGTGCTATTTTACTTTAATTCAAAAAAATTTTTTTTGGATTTTATTTACACTGATATAAATTAGATAACGTTCCTAATTAATTTAAAAATTTTCCTTTCTAGATATCGTTATAGAGTTGGACAATGACCGAGAGCTTGACTTTAGGAAAAATTTTTTGGAGAGGCAGGTTAATAACGGGAATTTTCAAGAAAAAAATATCAAAATTCCCTGCCTCTCGGGAACACTACAAATTTTTACAAATTTTTTATTGAGTTAACTCTACAAAACATTAATTTCCTCAAATCTCGAAATCTCCAGCTTGACTATTTTTATTTTTTTAAAAAATAAATTTTGTTTTTCATAAATTCTTCAAAGCACTTTTTATAAACAACTTTTTGAGTGCTTTAGCACTTATTTTCGCGCACACCCCTTTATTTAGGGCAAATTTGTTAAAGTATTATTTTGGAATGTTTACGTAAATAACGGAGTTAATTTTGTTTTTATTTATAGAGACAGGTTTATAAAATATTTTTCTTTCCCTATTTTCCACAAATATTCTTCAATCTAGCCGCATTATTGTCGTTGATTCAATTTCATAAATTCCTTAATTTATTAATATTTTCTTTGAAATATTTACTTTTTTAATTTAAACTTTTTTTAAAATTTATTCTATTAATTTTACTTTGCGAAGATTTGTTGAAAATATATATTTCTTTCAGTTTAATTTCGATTTTGATTTAAATTATTAAAATTAAATAGACCACGAAATGACATTTTCTTTATTTTAATTTTTATGTTTTTTATTTAGGTAATTAAATGGCTCTTGTCCAGTTCATGCGTCCCATGAAAATTTATGCGTCCCATGAAGATTTATGAGTCCCATAAAAATTTATGCGTCCCAAGAAAATTTATGTCCCAAAAATAATTTATGCGTCCCAAGAAAATTTATGCGTCCCAAATATAATTTATGCGTCCCAAAAAAAATTACAAAATTTGACGAAATTTTGACTTAAGTCGCCGACTCTGATAGGTCTACTTAATGTCATATCTTTGTCAAATCTTGTCCAATCAAGTTGATTTTGGTGTCATTCGACTCAGCTTGGCGAGTTCTTTCGAATGAGCTATCATTTGTACAAATTTGCGTGATTTTTAAATTTCAGGTTCTGTATTTCAGGGGTCTGTATTTCGGTCAAATCAAGTCGGATTTTTCGATTGGTGTCATTAGACTCAGCTCGACGAGTTCTATAACTTAACATTGACTTAACACAACATTGGCCCAAAAAATTGTCTCGTTGGCCCTTGAGCAAGGCTTTATAACAAACACATTTTTTAAACGTTTTTTTAATTTGCAATATTTTTTCAATTCATTTCATGGGACGCACAAATTTTTATGGGACGCATAAATTATTTTTGGGACGCATAAATTTTTATGGGACGCATAAATTATTTTTGGGACGCATAAATTTTTATGGGACTCATAAATTCTCTTGGGACGCATAAATCTTCATGGGACGCATGAACTGGACAAGAGCAAATTAAATTATTAAACAATTAAATTTTAATTTAATTTATTTTTCAGATTTACGATCTTTTCCCTTTGGAGGATTTGTTGGAGACAGAATTTCAAGACAACGAATCTGGTCAATCAACGCCTAAAGTACGTTGAACCTCACTATTAAAAATATTTTGAGGATAGAAAAATTGTTATTATAATGAAGGTTATCTTACACTGGCGGTATCGCTTAAACATCCCCCCTTAGTTTTCACTTAAATTTAAAAATTAATTTGGTTGTTGGGTATGAAAATTGAAATTCTTTATCCTGATTTCTGACATTTTTGTGTTTGGGATGATCAATCGTCCTTATTAGGGTTGTCCATTTCAAACCGAACCGAAAACCCGAAGATTTTTGGTTTCGGTTAACCTAAGAATCTGTTGAGACCGACACCCCTAGTCCTTACATTTCTCCATCTACTGCTTTGTATATTTATTCAACTGGCATTTAAAAATATTTTTTTTTAATTTCTAAAAAATTATACTCTATTTAGTCTTAATAAAGACCCTGAAGTAATATTGTAAATACATGTTGGAAAATTTATAGGGGAATTATATAAAGGGTGTTGGACGGTCTATAATGTTCGTTAGTAGGGTTGGGGTTTTCGAGCCTGGCTGACGTTCGAGTCTTTTTTTTCGGGCCTCGTTTTTATCGGATCAAACCGAGCGAGCCTTTTTCGGGCCAAAATTCGATGCCCGACTCGATTTTTCGGACCGGACTAAAAATGGAATTTTTAGCAATCACCAAACGGCTCAATAAACGGCTTATTAAACGGCATAAACAACGGTACCCATAAACCAATGATGTTGTCTTCCCCAGCTGCCTCTACTGCTGCTTTGTCTTCCTCGCCTTCTTGCGCTTCTTCCCCCTCTTCAAATTTGAAAGAAATTTCTACACCTACCCCAGATGTAGCTGTTGTTAGATTAAAATTGCTTAGGGTGGAAATGCCGGAGGATCAATTACCTCAAAATTGCCAGTTGAGTGACCTCAGCTGTGCAGTTAATGTTAAAGAAAAGGTGGAGATTAATGGTGAGAGTTTTTTGAGTTTATTCGGGAAATTTATTTAACGAGGTTCTGTAAGACCGGCAATGTCTTCCTCCCATATTGGTGATAAAACAAGGATATCCACCATTCGTTGATATCCACCAATTATTGCCTTAACGCTTTTCAATCCCAACTAAGACCGTCAAAGTTTTCCCCCAGCTTAGCTGATAAAACAACAAGGAAAGCCACAAATATTGGTTGAGGGTGAGTAACGACCACTGCCTCGGAGAGCTCTCATTACTATAAACCCTATTCTCAGAGCTTTTCTGGGAGAGAGGTCCCAATGTGGAGGGATTCTGCCGCTTCAATCCAACTCTAAGATAATAGAAGGAAACAAGTCTCCCTTTTTCCAGGCGAAAACCGTTTAATCCAAAAAAGAAAAACAATGCAGCTACAATGGGAAAAGTGTTTTGATGTTGGCATTCTACAAAATCGGGTACTTCAAATGCTTGTTCAAAACGACAAAACACTTGTTGCTGATGCAACTATGAGGCTTGAAGTAAACTACCCTTTACAAAAATATTTCTTTATATTCCAACTATTTTAAGGATATTGTTTGCAAAAGTAAAACTGATGCAGTTACTCATATTTGGATAAAGTGGGTTTATTAAACTCGAAAGATTTTTTAGAATTATTAGAGTAAAGCTTCGAAGCTAATTTTGAAACTTTTTGTGCGTGTGAGACAGAGGTGGATCGGAATTTCGATTTCCGACGTTTTTTTCCTTGCGATTTCCGACACCTCTGACTGTTCCGATCCACTTCTGGGTGTGAGACAGAGCTGTCTGCAACCACGTAAATCCGTTCTCTATATTTCTGGATTCCGGCTGTATAAAAATTTTTCAATTGCTGACAGTTCTGAAATGGGAATTTTAGCAGTACTTTCACGGATCCCAAAAACTAGAAACATAGGACTTCAAAAGTTGATATAAAATCTTATTGAAGTTATTAGAGAACTAAATCTATCATTTCTATTTTTTTGATATTTATTCATGCCATTTCTGCGTTATTTTTTAATTATTAGCATTATTTATGCCGTTTATTCTTCCAGTCAAATAATTTTTAAATTACTTCTAAATTTTAGTCTAAAACCTTGTGGGCGTATTTTGGCCCAAACCTTAAAAATCGGCAATGGCTCCCAAGATCAACTATCAGAAGAAAGTGGTGCTTCTCAAATGGCTACCCCAAAAGGGTTTGGTGATGGAATTTATAGACGTAGAGGGGCTATAAAACATGCAAAAATACATGGTTAGGGGATAATTTTAGTTCAAAAATTTTCAAAATTTTAAAGAAATCAGAGGCCACGAGTTTGTTACAACCTCATTCCGTCAATTTACTTTTTGTTCAATTTGTGGAGAATTTATGTGGGGCTTAAATAAACAAGGATATCAATGCCAACTTTGTACACTTGGCAAGTTTATTTCTAAATTTTCTACTATGTTTTCTAAAATCTCGGAAATTGGAACAAAAATATCGGAACTAAATTTTATGCCTTAATGATATTAAACGCCGATTTTATACATATAACACAAGAGGTCGATCGGAAATGATGGAGGTGCCGGAAATCAGAACTGTCAGAAATCGGGAATGGCTTAAAAGTCAGAATTCGGAAATCAGCTCAGATTTAGCCGCCTTTCAGCCCAATCAGCCGATCGACCTCTGTATAATACCTACTCGCTAGACGTGTTTATATATAACCGTAGCATATTGGAGGCTTTATATTATATTATCTTATCTTCTATTTTGTATACAACCAAATCCCTATATAAGAGACCGTATCATAAAAATCTTCTATATCGAGCTATACAAATTAGAGGGTATTTGCTATTCAAAAATAAAATTCGTTTTCAAAAACCTCTTAAAAATTTTATTTTCAGCTGTCCACAAAAAATGTCACGAAAAAACTCTAAGTCAATGCCCAGGCTCAGCTAAAAATACAAAAGATACAATTTACCTTAAAGAACGTTTCAAAATTGACGTCCCTCATCGTTTCAAACCGTTAGCGATAATTTTTGAAATAAAAAATTTTTTTCCAAATTTTAAAGGTATAATTTTAAAAGCCTAACATTTTGTGATCACTGCGGCTCTCTTCTATATGGGCTTTTTAGGCAAGGATTGAAATGTGAAGTTTGTGGCGTTAATTGGTAAATGTTTTTGAAATAAGTCGAAGTAATAAGAATAGACTTACAGGAAGGATTAATTTTGAGATATACATATTGTGACTAATTTGAGATTGGACTTGAAAATTTAGGAATAAACTAGACCCTTAACTTTGAGGAAAAATTTTATTTGGTATACCATTGCCATGGCAATCAATCAGAAGAGTTAATAAAGACCCGGCTCAGACCGGTTCCAGTCTGTTTTCTCGTGGTCTCCAATCATACTTCTGGGTTTATCGGACAGATAAATATAAAGTGATGGAGTTCCAAAAGATTACCCATTTTGATGGATAGTCTAGGTCAATGTTATACTAACCAGACCTGGTCATGGATAAGTATATGGATACAGATAATACCAAAATGCCTGCGGATATCCGCCTGTATCCGCCGTAAATATCCGGATACGGATACCAAAATCAGTATCCGTGACCAGGTCTGATACTAACCTTAATTTTCCTAACTCACAAACACAACGAATGACAGATTTTCTACACTATTATTAAGAAAAAATTTGACTCAACAAATTAATCCACTCTTATTATTTTCAAGTCACTTCCGTTGTGAAAAACATATGCCTAACCTTTGCGGTGTAAATCAAAAACAACTTTCCGATGCCCTTATAGAAATTAAAAGGAGTGCTACAACAAATACAGCGCCCCCTTCTTTTGCTAATAAAGACCAACAATTGGTTAATGGAGTTGGAAATAAATTTAAGGTGATTAAAAGATTGGATAGTTTAAAGGTTTCCCTCTGCTTTTTCAGAATTTATTCAGAGCCCAAGTCTCTGGAGGCGATTCTGTGGCTGACAAAAGCAATGAAATATCTGAACCGTTAGGAGGCGGCAATGCAGATTCTCCTCGTCAATATAAACTAACAAATTTCCATATTCACAAAGTGCTTGGAAAAGGAAGTTTTGGAAAGGTAGGGGAAGGGATTAAAAAATTATTTGTTTTATTTGTTGGGATATATGGGATTTCTTGGAAGGGAGAAAAAAGGGAACTTCAGGGTTGAGATAGATTTTAAAAGATAGAACGGGACGACCACGGAAATAATCTAGGCGACAAACGGTTCCCGATAATCCCGTTTTTCGCTTAAATTCAAGATTCCAGGACGGGGTTTTTGTAAAATCCTTTACAGGATCACGTGCCTCACTGTAATATAAATTTGAGTTCGACAAAATTAGATTCTTTAAAAACTAGTAAAAACTTTGATTAATATGAGACCTTATGACCTGAAATTTTATTTTTATAGAACTTCTAATCATAAGATTATAAATAAAGTTGGGGAAGGTTTCTTTTGTTCCACGTTTGGGAATCGATTTAAGAAACATTTTAAAAATATTTAAAAAGTCTGGATTATTGAAATATAAGATAGAGGAACTTTTCCTGTTTTTCTAATTTTATTCTTTGAAAAATATAGAAAAAAACCTCCAAAAAATATTTTTCAGGTGCTACTAGTAGAATTAAAAAATCACAGTCAATTTTTTGCAATGAAATGTTTAAAAAAAGATGTAATTTTAGAAGATGATGATACTGAGGTAATTAAAGGAAAAGTAGCTAAAATTGTTCCAAAATTAATTTTTAGTGCACTTTTATCGAAAGAAAAGTACTCATTTTATCTGGCGAATGTCCTTTCTTGTGTAAACTTTTTGCTTGTTTTCAATCTAATGAATACCTCTTTTTTGTAATGCAATATTTAAATGGTGGTGATTTAATGTATCATATACAACAGGTACAGGGAAATTTGTTAAAAATCTAGACATTTTTTCTGTTACTGCGAAACCCTAATACATACATAGATAGGGGGGAGTTGGGTTGAGAAATAAGTCGGATATTGGTTAACCCGCCCCATCCCTCTAGTATGAGGTTTATTAATTAAGCCTAAAGTTATTAATTAAGCTAAAATCTTTATACAGGTGAATCTCGTTATAGTATACTCCCTTTAATGTATACAACTTAGACTTTGGCACTGGTCTAGTTTAGTAGTCCAATGAAGTTTAAAGTGTAAAATGAAAACTATTAATCCAAGAAAGAATAAAAAACTAGATCGAGACCAGATTTTTATTGGTTGACCAAATGAATGGGGTGAGTTGGGTTTCTAGTTCTAGAGCTGTCTTGCCTAAGGGATATCTCCATTTTATATACTAAAAATATATTCTGTACATAGTAGACATTAAACCCATACTGTAACGAGCTTCGATTGTATAAGAACCCGTTTTATCGTAAAATTATTCCCGTCTTGATTTCTAGTTCTACAGCTGTCTTGAAAAGAAATTCGCTAGTGAACTAGTCGAGAAAATACGATAATTTTTTATTTAATCTATTATTAATGCTAAGTTCGGCTTTCCCCAAAATTATTTTAAAAGATGTAAAAAAATTTATAAAGGTTAAACGATTCGACGAAAACCGTACTCGTTTTTACACCTGTGAAATAATTTGTGCATTACAATTTTTACATACCAAAAACATAATCTACAGAGATTTAAAATTGGATAATATACTTCTCGATAATGATGGACACGTTCATCTAGCGGATTTTGGAATGTGTAAAACAGAGGCTAATAGAGAGAATGGAATGGCTTCAACTTTTTGTGGAACCCCCGATTATATTGCACCAGAAATAATTAAAGGACAACTTTACAATCAAGCTGTAGATTTTTGGAGTTTGGGGTGAGTGTTTAGGGGTTTAAAATAAATTACAGTTGACCTCACTATGAGATATAACTTTGGCTAGAAAACTTGTTCTTTATAATGACAGATATTTTAAATTGAGTTATCGTTTAGGCAGATCACCAAGTGGCGAACCAAATTTTACGATTAGTATTTTAAATTGAGGCTAAGATAGGTAAATAAAGAGTTCTAATCAGAGTTTGAGTTTTTTGAAGGGGATCTTTTTTATCAACGAGAGATTCGGTTGTTTCCTGTCTCACTTAATCTTAAATAAATTTCAATAAAACTTAAAAAATAAACATTCTAGAGTGTTAATGTATGAAATGCTTATTGGCCAATCACCTTTCCATGGAGACGGGGAAGACGAATTATTCGATGCTATACTTAATGAACGTCCATATTTCCCAAAATGGATTGGTAAAGAATCTGCAAAAATATTATCTGCTGTAAATTAATTTTTATGTTTATTTGATATATTTAATGAAATAAGGAAGCAGGCCAAGGTGCCGCAATACCAAGTTACCTCAGAGCTATGACGTCGTTCAGAATTTTCTTATCCGGGCGCTTTGGTATGGTTCGATGCACCTTGACAAACTAAATCGAACCACACCTTGGCGTTCCGGATTCGACAATTCTGAACGAAGTTATAGCTCTTCGGCACCTTGGGCTTGCGGTACCTTGTTATACCTTGGGCATACCCATAAACCAATAAACTAATTTTCCTTGGGGTGTACCCATAAACTGATTTTAAAATTAAATTTTTAAAAATTTTAAGCTGTTTGATCGAAATCCAAATACAAGACTAGGGATGCCTGAATGTCCTGATGGTGAAAATAAATTTTTTTAATAAAAAAATGTTTAGCGAAATTTCTTGAAATTATTAAAAATTTTCACATACTTAGTTCAAAAAAAATTCCTTCTAATTTTTAGGCCCCATCCGCCAGCACTCATTCTTTAGAGGTGTTGATTGGAAAAAGTTTGAAACTAGACAAACAATACCTCCATTTAAACCTCTTGTGGTATTTTATTTTAAACTTTTAAAAATCCCCATGTTTTTTATAGAAAAGTGCTGATGATACGTCTAATTTTGACGACGATTTTACTCAAGAAAAGGCTTTGTTAACTCCAATTCAAGACAAGCATTTACTTGCATCTATTGTAAGTTTTTGAGGGGAAAGGAGTAAAAGTGGATTGGAAAAACCAGAAATCGAAAGAGTCTGAAATTGGAAGGCGAGAATCAGAATTCCAACTAAGAAAATTATTCTAATAGAAGCCCACATTTAATAGACACTCGAGAAAATAAAAGATGAGGGGCTAGTAAAGATAGTTTAGGCAAAATTGGCCTTGAGAATATTACTTATGTTAAATCGAAAGCCATTTAAAGATGGAATAAAATTCTGGCCAATAACCAGCGTTAAGTCTCCGGGGTGAAGAAATAAGACACTCTTTTAGACACTTAATAATTAAATAATATATTGAGCTTCACCAGTATCTAAATAATTCCATAAGATTAAAAAAATCTTTTTATTTCTTTCAGGATCCAGATACTTTTGCTAACTTCAGCTACACAAACCCACACTTTGATAATTTACAATTAATTTCTAATAGTTGAAAAAAACCGGTGAAGAAATGAGACAATCTTTTTTTTTTGATATTAATTTTAATTTACTTCAACCTTTTTTTCCAAACCCTTTTTTATTTTTTTTTAATGTAGTTTTTTTTATTTTTTTGTACATTTTCCCTTTCTAATCTTCTCAAATCAGAAAATTACTATGTGATCACAATTAAATTTTAATATATTTTATTCGTTTATTTAATCTCTATCTTATCCCATTCAGGCTATCTTTGGGGATATTTAATAGGTTTTAGGGATATCTAATTCTGGATATCTAACAGATTGAGGGGATATGTCTGATATTTTAAATATTAAATATGAGAACGATTATTTAGTTAAGCGATTTCAATTAGAGTAGTGGATACTCTAAGATGCTCGACCTAACCAGCAACCATCGTCTTATACTACGGGCCCTGAATGAGGTTGTATTAGGATGAGGGATGAGGATAAGACTGGATGAGGTTGAGGATGGGATGAGGGATGAGGCTGGTATGGGGCTCGATATTTTATTAGAGCTTTTTGATATTCTAATACGTGATGGCGCGAATAATCTGTATTCTATATGTTAAATAATAGTAGAAGATGGGAGGGTGTTTCTCGAACTCGGAGATGCTCAATTTCAATACGTAACGGAATTTTATTTAAAATAAAAGATCTGAGGGATAAGATAGAGATTAGGTAAAATAACCATTCTTTTAAAAATAATAAATTTCCCCATAAATTTTTAATAATATTTTCGATTCTCGCCATAATTGCGCGCATTTCACTCTTAATTTTGCATATTTTGCCAATTAAATTTTTATTAGAATTTTACCCGGTTAATAAAAAAACATGGAATTATAATGTTTTATTTTCTTGTTTTTGAATAAATTTAAAAAATAATTTTAATAAATTATCTCAATTAAATTACACGATGCCCTCTGTTTAAACGACGCCCTTTATACTTCTTATTAACGAAAGCTTTCCAAGTTAAGGGTACACCGAGATGGTCAAGATGACGTTTCGGCTCTAAAAGCACACCAAGATTCAAGATGGCTTTTCGGGGATGGAGGAACTGCCTAGGTGAGTGACCAAGATGGCGTTAATGCTCTAAAATCTGAAGTGGAGTTTAATATTAAAAATATCACGTGCCTGGAAGTTCAGAAAATAACTCTCGGGATATAAACATTTTAATTTCTAATTATTTTGCCTATTTGCTGAACCAATTTTAGTTCAATTTTTTTGATAAATTAGTAAGTTCCCTTTTCATTTTTTATCAGCAAATCAAAATAGGAAAGCATCACAAAAATAAATAAAAAAAAATTTTAAAGGAAATAAAAAATATTCTAAAATTGGCAAAGTCGAACCTCTCTAGAGGATGAGGGCCTTGGGACTGAAAATACAATGAGGTACCTAAACTAACTGATATCCCTTTAAATAAGGCGTAGCTTAGGCAGCTCCCCTACCCACAAGTAAATTAAAAAAAACATTCTTAGATTGATGTGTATTTAATATAGAGAGTCTATCTCAGAGAGGTCCGACTTTAATTAAATTAAGGAAAATACCTAGTATTTTAATAAAATTGCTAAATAAAATAAAATAAATAAAATTAGAAAAATATAATTAAATTATTAATAGGAAAGTAAGATTATAAATATTTAATTGTTTCGCTCTCTCTCACTTAGTCCATCCTCCGGAAAAAAATTTTTGGGTTTTCTCTTAGGCCAGCCTTCAGAATATTTTAGGACGATTTGGAGGGATGGTTGCTGTTTTCGAGTTGGGCCGACGTTTGAGTCATTTTTATCGGGCCGGCCCGGCCGAGTCTTTTTCTGGCCAACTCGATCTTTCGGACAGGGCGGGATCCGGCATACAACCCTAGTTAGGAGGGAGGTTGTAGGGAGGCCGATTTAATCAAAAAGCTAGGAACATAACCAAGATATATCACAAAAGGGGACTAAGTGGGAGAGAGAAGCCTCATTTAAAATGGAATAAATAATAGAAGAAATTAAATAAAATAAAGGCAAGAATTAATTAATTAAGAGCACGAATTTAATTTGATTTTTAAAAGTTAAAAAAATTTTTTGCCTATTCCAATAAGCATTCTAATAACTTTCTCTTTAACAGCAACAAACAAACAGCTTTTTAATGAATTCTCCCATATGTTGGAGCAATGTGTAGACTTGGGCAAGAATTACCGCTTGTGAAGAGTACACACTGGAATTAAATATAATTATTTAGAAATTTATGAAGCAAAGTGAATTCTTAAAGAGTAAATTTAAGTTAAAGAGTAAATTCTCTCTCAAGCGGGTTACTACTTTTCTTTAACTTTAACACAGGTTGTTTTTCCACTAGGGTTGTCGGTACAGAACAGATCGTATAACCTGAGGTCTTTTTCGTTCGGTTTCGGAGATCCGAAGATTTTTCAAGAACAACAACCCTTCTTCTACACTAAGAAATATAGCTAGTTTTCATTTATTTTTTAATAAAAATTATTGGGTAATATGAAGCTTCTTAGTACAAAAGCATATGCAAATAATTTAAAAAAATGTTTGCAAGAGTGAAATCTCCTTCCCTCTTCTCCTCGCAAGTCTATCTCTTTTAACCTTTCCTATTTAAGTATCAGGGATGGAATCTCTTCATTTTTTAAAAATATCGGATGGCTCATCCCTGTTTTGTATCTCTCTCCCACTTAATCCAAATTTTTTTTTGTTATCTCGAAGGGGGGAATAAGTTAAAGAGTAAACATAAAAAAATAAACTGGAGATTGCAGAATAAAGCCGAAATTGGTTGATTATACATATTTAATTAAAATTCCCTGAAACTTTTTCCAAAATTATATAATTCTCTCAAAATTTTCTATTTTTCCCCACCAAAAATTTTTGAGAACTATATTTCACCTCCTGTGCCGGATATTCAGCTGTCCACTTAACAACAAGTTCGCGCTGTTCACCGGGTGCAAGTTTAACAGTCCATTCCAAATTATGCTCTTTGTTTAGTCGACATTCCGATTTTTGGGCTTTGAGGTCTGGATGGATTAGAGCAATCTGTGGAGAGATAAGAAATTTTTAAAAATTATTTTCAAAAAATTAATTTTCTGAGAAACATTTTTCAAGCAAAAAAATTAAGAAAAAATTTTACTCACTTAAATATATTTATGCTTCGGGTGTCCCAAAAGGAGAATAACAAAAACACTCTACATCAGAAAGCGGGGCCTTTGCTTTGATTTTATAGATGACTGAAAAATGTTTTTGGAAAAATAAAAAAATTAAGGGGGAAGGAAAAAAAATTTTGAAGAAATTCTAGAGTTCCATATTCGTTTTTTGCCAAAAAATGTTTCCCAGAAAATATAATAAAATTATTAAACTAATAAAAATGTATTAATGCGCAGATACGAATATTAAATAGACCAGACCAAGCCCCGCTATCGAAAAAAATCTCGTGTGACCCTCCCAGTTATATCTGTATAAAGAACTATACCTTTAAAGACCCAAACAGAATATACATATAACTGTTAGAAATCAGACAAGAAAAGCTATGGTTATCTTCCTAGAATTAGACCTAAAATTTTTGTGAAAGAGTATCTTAAAATTTATCTCGACTAAAGAGGAACAGATATTCAAACGTTTGCATCTATATAAGTAGATGCTTTATTAATTGAGTCACCGGAAAAATAACGGATGAAACATTGTTGGCCTTGCTTGCTTTTATTTTGAAAATAAAATAAAATATGTTGACTAGGGAATATTCAAATTATTCGTATCCGCACACAGATCGTTATTCCAAATTCACCTTAACTTGGTCATCAACAGCTTTCGGTACAGGTTCACGTATTGTTATTTGAACACTTTGATTAGCCTTTGCATTTCGTAAAGAAATTGCTTGTTCATGTGTTGATAAACTTTTCTTTGTCATAAAACCGAACTGCTCGTTTGAAGTATTTGCCCTTTTGTATTCTACTTTGATGGCTGGATCTACACCCAATAAACAGCGAAACTCTTCTCCAGGAAGTACAAGTTTTAAATTACTCTGAAAAAAATTTCTATCAACTAAAATCTTATTCCATAGCCAAAAATAATGTCCCTCATCTGGGATAACTGAGAGCAAGACACAAGTTAAAATAGTAAAGCTAATTGAGAAAGTTGAATAACAAGTTGGGAAATTTTGGAATGTTGGTAAATGCTACTCATTCAAAAATGCCTCTAATAGGAGCCCATTTCTAAGGGACGCTCAAGAAAAGTAATCCTTCCTTGATGGAACAGTGCCGGAATATTGGGAAACCTTAATAAAATAAGAGGCTAATAAAGAGAGCCTGGGACAAATTAGTAAAAGCAATTTTATATCCACTATTTCGACTTATACTCTCAATTGTCCCATCTTAAAAGTCAGATTGTATATTATTTTGTGGAGGGGGGGGGGCTACAATTAATACTTAAAAATTTTTCTTACAGTAGACACAAAGCTGTTGTTGAAAAAGACAGAAAGTGGCCCAGGAAGTAGTGGTAATGGCGAACAATTTACCAACTTCGCACTAAAAAATAGGTAAAATGAATCATTTTATAATATTAGGTACTTGATGAATGCACTTGACATCCGAGAAGGAACACATTCATGCCAATAAGTAGGCAAAAGTTCAATATGTGCAATATCAATCTTAATAAATTTGTGAATTAGTACACGTAAAACTTTCTTTATGCCCTCACTATAAGATACCTCCAATACTAGATAAACTCTATTTAAGAGACATTTTTAAATTTTAGTAGGCCACAGGGTAGGAGTAGCTGCCTGACCTTCTATTTAAAATACACCTCATTATAAAATTACCTTCTCTATTAGACACCTCTTACTATAAGATACCCCCAATATTAGGTACATCCCATTCTAGAATATCTGGTTGTCCAATTGATATACTCTATTTAATATACACCTCATCATAGAGTACAATTTTTCAGCCCTAAAGAGGGTATCTTATATTGGCTTACGATTGTTATTTTGGCCTAATCCCAGTAAAATTAGGGCTTAATTAAAGCAATTTTCCCTCTTTTGTTTTTACTTATTTTTTCATATTTACTTAATTCTATTCATTTTTTTCATTGAAATTTAACTTAAAAACATGTAATAATAATATTTTGAATACTTTGTTCCTTGGAACAAGTAAAAATTACAAAACAGATTTTTTGATAAATTTTAAGTATAAATTACTCAAAAGATGGAAAATAAAATAAATAAAGCTGAAAGATTGAATGAAGATAGAAATAAAAATAATTTTAATTAAAACAGGAAGGAAGTTAAAGCCAAAGAAAAGATTTGTTTACAAGCTCGATGATGTTTAGTTGCCCTAACTCGCTATGGACGAGATTAGTTTTTACTAGAGTTCAGCGGTATCGGGATTTTGAGAAAAACCCGGGATCGGGATTTAGGAATGGTGATCCCGATCCCGATCCCGGATCCCGACACGGGATCGGGATTGACCGAAATCGGGATCGGGATTTGGACTGTAGATCCCGATCCCGGTCCCGATCCCGAATCGGGACCGGGATTGAAAAATCGGGATCGGGATTTACTGAAAATTTTTTTTTTAATTTTTAAATTTTTATTTTCTTCTCAGTATAATTCTAAAATTGCTTCTGCAGTGCTGAAATATTGAGGTTAAGTCTCATAGACGCATAATTTACTTTCCCGTTCAGGGGATTAAGGGGGGATAAAGTATGTAGGGGGGGGAGGGGGATAAAAGGGATTAAACTTCTTCCATTTTAAGCGCCGCAGGCAAAAATTTTGAAAAATTTGGAAGGCCTAGGTGCCAGATTTCCTCCCTTTCAAGCGCCGCAGGCAATATTTTTAATTTTGGAAGGCCAAGGGCATTCAAGTTAAACATTCAAGTCTATACGATTAAGTACGTTACGTTCAAATGTAGACGATTAAGAACTGAGCTTGAGGGATTAAGTGATATGTTCATGTAGTAATAACAATGTCCAATACACAGCAATGACTCGATTACTCGAACTCGCGTTTTTTAATTACTCGGCATACTCGAGCTCGGGTTTTTCCAATTACTCGGTACTCGATGTATTCTAGTTTTTACTATAAAAAGTTCCAACATTTCAATTACTTCCCAACAAATCTACAGAACTCATTACAAATCTACAAATCTTCAAACATCTATTTGCCTATAGCAACAATTCTTCATGATCGGCCTTCTTCCAACGGAGCTCAACACCGGCCCTGGAACAAGGAAGTCATCAATGCTGTGCTCCTTGCTGCTGCTCGTCATCGCAACATTCCATGTGCTTGAAGTACCCGGACAGTCCAACAATGACGGAAGCGTCGGATTCGCCAATCACAAATTGATTGGCAAGAACGTTACGCTGGTAGACTACACCATCAAGGCTAACGAGGCAAACTTCAACTCCGACGAGTACAGGAAGCGCTTCCCGAATGCATGTGATGTTAAGATTGACAGCAAAACCATGTAAGTTTTCTTTTTTGTTTTTAAAAATTTTTAATCGAAATTGTTTTCTTTTCCAGTGAGCTTCAGTACAACAACATCACTGGATGCACGGTGGACCTGCTCGTCAAGAACAAAGACTACAACAACAAGATCAAGTTTAAGGCTGGAGTGGGGAACAAAGGAGGAGAGCTCAAAGACTGTCTTAACTGGGGTCTCTTTTTGCAGAATAGCTTTAATAATATGTAGGCTTTAAATTTTAGTAAAATTTGATTTCAAGCCTTTTAGTATGCCGTTTGTCTACAGCAAAAATAACAAGGTCGTCGAAAGGCTCAGCCATGGTCCAATTTATGCTCACAAGGAAGATTGTAACAAACAGAAGTGTGGAATGTGCATGCCGTGGACGACTCTCGAAATCTCATGGAGCATAGTATTTGAGAAGGTCCACGCTTACACCCATCTAGGTCAAATAAAGCTATTAATATTACATATCTAAATTGTATTTTTGTTTTTTCAGTCGGCGATTTGGGTCCAGACTTTGATCAAACCAAGATATTTGTTGCCGAAGAAGGTGCCATCAACATGGAGATAGAAGGCGGAGGCAAATTCACGATGAATTTTGGGGAACAAAAGCACACCTTTGACTCATCTGTTGACAAAATTTCATGCGTTCCAAGGGACAATCCCTTCGTTGCCCCAGAAACATGGACCATCACAAATGAGAATCTGAAAGGTGGACGCCTACTTGTCTTCAGCCTGCTTCCAGTGAGTGCGTCTGTTGTGTTCGATGGTAAAAAGCTCGTAGATAGACCAGCCAGGACGCGTTGTGATCTCTTCGTCCAATTTGTGAGCTTTTACATAAATTTTGAAAACCTTGATTAAATTTATTTAATGCAGGACAGAAACTATTACGAGCTGCTGTTTGTCTCTCCTTCACCGCCACCAACAACGACAACGAATACTACACCAACAACGACTACTACAACGACACCAAAAATCTGTCCAACGGAACCATCTAAAACGTGTGCTACTTGTCCTTCGTGTCCAACGGAACCAGCATGTGCTAACTGTTCTGTTTGTCCAGCGTGTCCAACGGAACCAGCTATAAAGTGTACTGCTTGTCCTTTGTGTCCAGTCCCTCCGACTACAACTTCAACGACTTCAACCAAAACGACAACTCCCGCTCCTTCTGCTGAAACAAGCTCGTCATCCTCGTTTATCTGGATTGTTTTCCTTGTTCTTCTACTGATTGGCTGTATTAGCACGAATGCAGGGTGGCTCTACTTCAATATGAATAAGGATAAAAAGGAGAAGCCAGAGGAAGAGAAAATGGTAACAAACCTTTCTCTTTAGAAGATAAATGTAATCCAAAAATTTTTATCTTTTCAGACAACGAGTGCGAGAAGTATAGTGATAACTACAGGAGACTCAGAATATGGACCGGACGTTAATACGGCAATTCAAGTGGATGCTGAAAGCGCAAAGACGGCACCGGAAGATGGAAAGTCGGTTACAGCTCCAGTGGATGTTGAGCAGGCACAGGCAGACGGTGGGGAAACCGAGGAGGGAGAGGATAAGGGGGCAATGACTCCTGTCGAAACTAAGACGCTGCCGGAAGTTTGAAGAATAAATAGTAGAGATGTAAGAGAGATAAATAGATAATATTGCCCTATTGTAAATAAATAAATATGTATATTTTTTTGTTCCTTATCTTGTTTGTATTTTTTAATTATGATAAATTGTTGTTTGATTTTGCCCAAAAATTTAAGAAAATTGAAAAAACATTTTAAAATTTCTTCCCGCCTTATGTGGTTGACCATCAGCCCAACTCGTTATAGAAGAGATTAGTTTTTACTACACAAATCCCCCAAAATCCAGTGATTTTCCACCCGGAGCCAACATGAATCGCGGACGATATCATGGAGGGATATCGGCAGATTAATGAAAATAACTGGGATTTGGATGATGATCCATCGCATCATCATCCAGCCAACAAATTCCGATTACTCGGTACTCGGCGTACTCTAGTTTTTACTATAAAAGGTCCCAACATTTCAATTACTTCCCAACATCTCTATAAACACATCACAAATCTTCAAACATCTATTTCGCCTACAGCAATAAATGCTCGGCCTTCCAATGGAGCTCAACACCGGCCCTGGAACAAGGAAGTCATCAACGCTGTACTCCTTGCTGCTGCTCGTCATTGCAACATTCCTTGTGCTTGAAGTACCCGGACAGTCCCACAATGACGGAAGCGTCGGAGTCGCCAATCACAAATTGATTGGTAAGAATGTTACGCTCGTCGACTTCACGATAGAAGCTAATGAGACAAACTTCAACTCCGACGAGTACAGGAAGCGCTTCCCGAATGCATGTGATGTTAAGATCGACAGCAAAACCATGTAAGTTTGCTTTTTTTCAAAGATTTACTTAAGATCAAATTGTTTTCTATTTAGTGAGCTTCAGTACAACAACATCACTGGATGCACAGTGGACCTGCTCATCCGACACAATGACTTTAACAACAAGATCAAGTTCAAGGCTGGAGTGAGGAACAAAGGAAGAGATCTCAACGATTGTCTTGATAAGGGTTTCCGTATCCAGGACAGCTTTAATAATATGTAGGCTTTAAATTTTAGTAAAGTTAGATTTCAAGCCTTTTAGTATGCCGTTCGTCTACAGCAAAAACAACAAGGTCGTCGAAAGGCTAAGCCATGGTCCAATCAATTCTTACGAACGAGAATGCAGCAGAGCTACGTGTGGAATTTGCATGCCGTGGACAACTCTCGAAATCTCATGGAGCAGAGTGGTGAATGTCTATGCTTACACCCATTTAGGTAAAATAAAGCTGTTAATTGTACATATCTAAATTGTATTTTTGTTTTTTCAGTTGGCGATTTGGGTCCAGGCAAGGATCAAGCTAAAAAACCTGGTGAAGAAATGACTCTTGATATGGAGATAGAAGACGGAGGAAAATTCTCGATGAATTTTGGGGAACAAGAGGAACCCTTCGACTCATCTGTTGACAAAATTTTATGCGTTCCAAGAGACAATCCCTTCGTCGCACCAGAAACATGGACAATCACAAAAGGGGATCTGAAGGATAAACGTCTACTTGTCTTCAGCCTGCTTCCAGTGAGTGCGTCTGTTGTGTTCGATGGTAAAAAGCTCGTAGATAGACCAGCCAGGACGCGTTGTGATCTCTTCGTCCAATTTGTGAGCTTTTACATAAATTTTTGAAAACCCTTAAATTTATTTAATGTAGGACAGAAACTACTACGAGCTGCTGTTTGTCCCTCCTCCACCGCCTCCACCGCCTCCAACAACGACAACGACTACTACACCGACACCAAAAATCTGTCCAACGGAACCAGCTAAAACGTGTGCTCCTTGTCCTGCGGGTCCAACGGAACCAGCGTGTGCTAACTGTCCAGTGTGTCCACCGGAACAAGCTATAAAATGTACTGCTTGTCCTTTGTGTCCAGTCCTTCCGACTACAACTTCAACGACTACAACAAAAACGACAACTTCTCCAGCTCCTTCTGCTGAAACAAGCTCGTCATCCTCGTTTATCTGGATTGTTTTCCTTGTTCTTCTACTGATTGGCTGTATTAGCACGAATGCAGGGTGGCTCTACTTCAATATGAATAAGGACGAAAAGCAGAAGCCAGAGGAAGAGAAAATGGTAACAAACCTTTCTCTTTAGAAGATAAATGTAATCCAAAAATTTTTATCTTTTCAGACAAGGAGTGCGAGAAGTATAGTGATAACTACAGGAGACTCGGAATATGGACCGGACGTCAATACGGCAATTCAAGTGGATGCTGAAAGTGCAAGGACGGCACCGGAAGATGGAAAGTCGGCTACAGCTCCAGTGGATGTTGAGCAGGCACAGGCAGGCGATAGGGAAACTGAGGAGGGAGCGAATAAGGAGGCAATGACTCCTGTGGAAACTAAGACGCTGCCGGAAGTTTGAAGAATTAATAGAGATGTGAGAGAGATTAATGGATATACCTAGTGATAATATTGCCCTATTGTCCTTATATATTTTTGCATTTAAATTGTGATAAATTTCTGTTCGGTTTTTGCCCAATAACTTAAGAAAAGTGAAAAAATATTTTAAAATTTCCTTCTCACCTTATGTGGTTGTCCATCAGCTGGAATAGTGCAAGGATGGTCTATAGGAAAATAGGTGGATGGCATTTGTTCAAGTGACTGTAAAAATGTGAATTTTTATTGAAAATATTCATCTAGAAATATTTACATGAATTGAATAATTTTCTGAACCACTTCCATGCACAGATGTTGCAATTGCTGCTGCTCTCATTTGTTGTTGTAAATGCTGAAATTTTTGGAAAGATTATTTTTACGTTATTTTGATTAGTTAGTCTGAAAGTCTGTCTATTTAACCAGTCATTTTGCAAACCCCCTATTTTATGGACAATTTTTCCACTCGATTATTCAGACGTTCTATTGGACTAAATAAAGGATGCATGCGTACAGTATGTGTACACTTCTATTTTGCGGACATTCCATAGTGTAGACCAGAGGTCGGTCGGAACTCCGAGTTCCGAATTTCGAGTCATTTCCGACAGTTCCAATTTCCGACACTTTCGTCATTTCCGACCGACACCTGGTGTAGACAACTCCCTTATATCCTATAAAATCCTCTATTTTATGGAAACTTTATGGTTAATAGACTCTTTTTAGAAATAGGTCCTCAATATAACAGACATATTAGGAGCACCCTCTATTCTATGGACACTATTAATTAACACCTCAATTTTGAGGGCTTTTAAATGTGTCCATACAAAAGAGGTTTACAAAATAGAGGTGTCTAAAATAAGATTTCTATTTGCCTGTGCATCAATTAGCTCATTATAATCAAAAGATCCAATTCCCGCATCCAAATCCTCTTGAGAGGCAGCATGACTGTTAAGCATTCTTCTATGTCTAGCTGTTGCTGTCGAATGATTTCTTTGTCGAAAACCGCTAAAAATAAAATTTAAAAAATTTAAATTAATTGAACAATAAACTAGCCTAATAACAGTTCTTTGAAGCATTGCATTAAGTATAGGAACGCAAGGAACTGAATTTGCAGAACAAGGCTGTGCTGTGCTTAGAATTAATTGGGCATCTTTCCAGTCCTAACGAAAAATAAATTTATAAGTTTGGAGGAGATTTCTCGAATTTTTAATCAGAACTGTTTCAAAAACTAAAACGATTCTCGAAAATTAGAGATCGAAATTGATCTTCCGGCCTTTGATCTTTTGACCCCTGAGACAAAAAATTTTCCTTCCGACTCCTGAGAGGGGAATGTATCCGTTTGGGGTCAAAAAGATTCTCAGCCAGAATTGGCCTTAACTGTGCTGGATCAATTCAAGGACCAATCTAAGAACATGAACGTACAGTCCTGGAGAAGTGATCTCCTATAATTTAGGAAATCTTAGGCATCTGTTGAGGGAGGAGGGAGAAAGACCATCTAAGAACTTGACCATACACCCCTGGAAAAGGAGCCTCATTTGAGGCAGGTAATCTAGGCAACCCTAGAGTACAACCTGGAAACGGAGCCCATATGTATGAGGCACGAAATCTGTGCATCTGTTCTTAGGGATCTGTTGAGGGAGGAGGGGGGAAAACCAATCTAAGAACTTGACCGTATCATATGAGGAAGGTACTCTAAGCATCTGTTAGGGTGGGCAGGAACTTTTTGAATTTTCAAATTTAAAGTTTGCCTCGTCAGTATTTTGCTCGACCATTCCATGGAAGGAGAGAAGAATAGCTTCAGAGCAATCCTCCTCCCTTCGTTCCTTCTTCTCTTTTAAAAGTTTCTCTTCTTTCTTTTTAATTTCTTCCTCTTCCTTTACACGTTTTTCTTCATTTTCCTCTTCCTCATCCTCCCTTTCTTCAGGTAAATTTTCATTGCTAGTTCCAGCTTTAATTTTCAATGAAGAGCGAGACATTTTTCTTTTTGACAAGTAACGGCTGTTTAAGACACCTAAAAAATTTTTGAAGAATTTAAAAAAAATTTTTCTACCCGAACTCGAAGCTCTCAACGAATAAGAAGGCCTCCATGTACAACTAAAAACTTGGTAGACCAATAAAAGTTCACAGTGTCCATCCCCAATAGAAGAGTCAATTGAAGAATCCTCCTCATTTGACAATATTTCAACGAGCAAATTGATGCTTCTAAATAAATTTAAGAGAGATTAAAAGGCGAAAGAAGGAAATACATACTTAAAAGAACAATTAATGGGAGGCTTACCCTTGGAGATCTAAACGAAATAGTTCTAAAATCAGAATTCCTAAGATTCTGGATTACTTGCTCTTCAACTCGTTATCCAGTTTAGTGTAAATGAGGTTTAGGAAAGAGGGTTCCATTGAGAGTTCCAGACTCATTTAAACTAGTACATTAAAAACTCTATAATCTTTTCTTCATGTGAAGAGAGAGGAATGACAACATTGTATCCCATTCCCTCATAAGATTGTGGATCTGGATCCGAAACCTTCGGTTTGGATATCGGATCCGGATGTCCGAAGATCTCCCAGGATCCGCCGACTTTATTCCCTCATTTATCTAAAAACAAAAAAATCTTCCTTCCATTCCACCTTTTATTTTTGTCATATTCCATTTTCCCTCGCTGTTTGTTCAATTCCCATTCGGACTTTGCTAGTCTCTCCTTTAATTCAGCCAATTCCTTTGCTTTTTGCCTCAATTCGCTTCTTGTTTCCCCAGCTGTTTTACCTCAAAAAAATTATTTTTTAAATTTAACCAATTGTTTAATTCACCATAATAATCAAGAAATGAGCTCAAATTCTTCATTGAATCCTCATTTAATAAAAATAAGCTGGTTGGTGCAAATTGCATAGAAACATCTTTAAAAGGAAGAAATAAGGTCAGAACTCATATAAAATTTAGGGGCTTATAATGAGGTGTATCTTTAAATATCGGTTAGACAGCTCCACTTTTAAGTGGATGTGTATATTGTAGAGTTCAACGGTATCGGGATCCCAATCGGCCGGGATTATCCCGGTTTTAGAATCCCGATCCTGATTTTGCTGATCCCGAGACCGAAAAATAAATCCCAACCCCGGTTTCGGATAATCCGGATCCCGCAGTCGGGATCGGTATGGGTATCATTATTCCAAAATCCCGATCCCGATTTTTCGAACACCCGATACCGCTGAACTCCAGTATCTAGTATTGGGTGCATCTTATCCTGAAGTCCGACTGTATTTAAAACTCGTTTTTCCCCTCATCGATAAAAATTTCCAAAAATTTACACACTTTGTTGTGCTCCACCTTCAATACACCCATTTATTTGTTGTTGGTCTTGTATTTGTTGAGCTGCTTGGACCCCACAGCGTCTCTGTTGAACAGCATCAGTGGAAACTAGGGCATTCTTTCCTATCTAGAAAAAATTTATTAAACGTGTTTCAGCGCGTGTTTGTATGGATACTCGTTAAATGGACAACTAGTGACCAAATTTCAGAAATTTTAAATAAACTTAAGCCAGAAAGATACCAAAAATGTAGACAAAAACATCGATTTTATGAGTTTTTTTACCATAACTCGAGAATTACATTATTAAAAATTCTGAAATTTTTAGAGAAGTTAGATAACACTAGTATCAATAAATTAAAAAAATTTCAAGTTTATCGGTTAATAATGACTTTTTTTTATGAATTCGCGTCCAAGGCTGAGCAAGGCATTTTTATTTGCTATTTTACTTAAAAGCTGTGAAATTTTTCGAAATTTTTTTCTCAAAATTTTTTTCCAGGATTCCCATTATTTCAAAATTCCCTTCCAAAAACTACTAGCTTCATCTACCTGTTTAGCAACACCATCTAGAACATCTAGCCTTTTCTGTAATACATCAATTTGATCGTTTAAAGCAGCACAATTCCCCTCTAAATCGGTCGTTTCCATTTCAAGGAAAGATATCTTTTTAGGAAAATTAAATGAATAATTTTAAATTTCAAATTATTTTCCTTACATTTTCACTTCCATCATCATTATTACAAAATTGGGGGATTTCGACATAATCAACATCCAAAATTAGCACACCGCTTTGACCATCTACGCGGATTGAGTCACGCGCGATCATTGGAGAGACATTCTGTTTGGAAAATTTTTTCAGATTTTTATTAGATTTATAAGAACAAAGGACATAAACAAGGACATTATAAGGACATAATAAGGACAAAATCTTGAAAAATTTCTGTGTTTAATAAAAAATATTTTGAAGGATTACAGTATTTAAAAGATTATGGTGAATTTACGGAAATAAAAAATTTTCTAAAAATAAAAAATTTTGAGAAATTTCCAAAGAAAATTTAGATACTTGTAAGAGAATGGAATTATGTACTGTACATTTTTACGTACCGTAATACTGAGAAATACCGAAAAATACCTTCTGGACTCGAATTCTTCTATCGTATTCTCTCTCTATTTACGAGGAGATATTGAACAATAAGTACCGTATATCCTTTAATAACTACCCTGGATAATTAGGTATATATAATTACTTCGCTGGAAAGAGTAATTAATCGAGGGAGGGTGAACATGTTTTAGGGCAGTTTGGGGGTAATTATTGTTTCAATTTACCCTTTGTGGGGTTATTAATGGAAGTGGGGTAATTATTTGAGGGAGGGAAATTAATACAGGCTATAAAGTGCATTATTGGTGTCTCTAAGGACTTGAACGAGATAGATTTTACAAAGATTATTTTCTAAGTAGACTTACATTAATTCTAATCATCATCTTAAAAGGCAATTGAATCTGTTCGGGCTTCTGAAAAACAATTTTCCTCTTAACCTCGGCCCTATCCAAATAAACAACAACAGATTTAGTAATTAATTCTTTGGCTTCTAAATTCAATATAGGCATTGACTGTTCTGAAGTAAAACTTGATTTTTGTGAAATTATTGGGGAAAAGTCTGAAGAAGTTGTTGTTGCAGTCATTCTTTTAATTAAAATTAAATAAATTGAAATCCAAAAATTAAAAAATAAACGGAGGAAACGAAAATATAAAAATAAAATTTTTAATGAATAAAGAAGCATATTATTAGGTAGGTGGGTTGGAAGGGTATTTTTGGGGAAAAAAAATTTTTTTGAAATTTTTTAGAAAAAATTTTTGGGGAAATTTTTTCAATTTTTTTTTGAAATATTTTTTTAGAAAATTTTTTTAGAATTTTTTAAAAATTTTTTTTGAAATTTTTTTTGGACTTAGAAATTTTTTTAAGAATTTTTGGACAATTTTTTGGACTGTTTTTAGTTAAATAATAAGATTAAATGTACTCCATATATATTTTTATTTTTAATAAAAACAGTCTTATGTCTTTTGCTGTCAGAGCTAAAAAAATTTCCTTCTTCCCGTAAATGCTGAAAATGCAAAAATACGACAGGAGCTCTTCTCATAATACCTTCACTTAGCAAAAATTAGAAAAATATTTTTGGGGGAAAATAGGTAAAAATATGGCATGGGACATTTAAGGAGGTAGAAGAGAAGGAAATGAAGAAGAAAAATGGAGGAAACAACGGAAAAATGGAAGGAAGGGAAGGATTGACTGATTAAAACTGTGATTGAATGAATGAAAATAATTTTTAGTTAAGTAGAGAGAATAGCTAAAATGGCTTCCTTTTAAGAAAGAGGTCCTTTTATCAGCCGGTCCAACTAACTAAATTTATTTATATTTAATGTCCAATCTACCCCCAAAAATTTTTCCTTCTTCGTTTCCTACACGCCCCCTCCCCCCCCCCCCCTCTTTCCCTCTCTTTTTTGTTTTCAATGTAATAACAGTAAGGCAGATCCACGGGGGCCTACCGATACCCACCCCCCTTCAAACCTCTCTCCATATCATAGCTACCCAAAATTGGAGAGAAAAGGGAGAAGATAAAAAAAGGTGTTTGTTAGCAACGAAATGTGCCTTCCCTTCCCTTCTCTTTGAAAAAAAGGGTTTTTGACTCTTCCTCCTCCCTAATAAAAAAAATCTATCTCAAAAATGGCTCTGATTAGCACCCAAAGACCGCACAGCAATTTTTGTCTGAAAAAAACACAAAGGCCTTTATCGTCGTTGAAAAATTGTCTGGGTCGGAGAAATTTTTTTTAGTTTTATAATAAATATACCTAATCAACCTTTATATAATAGTTTTTTCAATTTAAAATTTAATTTGAAAATAATAAATAATAAAACCAGGGCTGTATACAATCAAAAAGATTTCCACACCACGAAATTCACAATTAGTTCTAAAATCATGTTTTCCGCGAGTCATCGCGTGAGTCGCTGGTGATCAAGCTCTTTACCCTTTATCCGCAAATACACCTCTCATTCGCAAATATGCCAATTTAGTAAGATGTCTCTCTCATTTACACTTTAGTTTCCCTAGGTTTCGGGCATTACAATGTCCCTCCTTTTGAAAAGAAATATGGGAATAACAGTAAAGCATCTTGATATAACAACACTTCTAAAATCCCGATATAACGACACTTTTCTAGTTTGAATTTTGTTGACTTTAGAAGGAAAGTAAAATGGAAAGGGTAGTCAAATTATGTATAACACACCTTTTTGGACCGGATTGAGGTGACGTTGGAATTGATGTACCGCAGGATCGCGCGTCGTTATACTCTCAATCCGATTCACTTTACAGGCATAGAGTATCGGCATTACTGCCAAGGCCCCAAAAAATTAAAAAATATTTTTTTAATAATTGAAAGGGGACTCAAAAACCCAAAAATTCTTTGTTCACGCTTATACCAAAAAATAAAAAATTTTTTTTATCAAAAAATTACATAAAATACCATCTAATACCCTTCAAAAACATTAAAATACACATAAATATAAATTGTCAACATAAAACAAAAAAACTTTCTAGCAGAAAATATTATTGAAAAATAATAAATATTTAACTAGTAAATAACTGATAAAAATGCTTTTAAGTATATTTTGGCCTTGAAAAATGAAAATAAAAATTTGGGAAAATATGCGTTCTGATTAATTACTTTTTTAAATTATCTTAAAGGCATTTTGAAGGAAAAACAAGCATATTTATGAAGGAAAAAATAAAAAATTCTTTTTCCTTGCTAAAAATTTTTTTGAAAAAGTAAATATTTAAAAGGGGTGAAGGGGCAAAACACCGCCCAGCCAAAATACTGTCCGAACATAAGAGTAAAAATAGTTTGACTGAGGACAAACCTACCAGGGGTGTGCGAGTTTCGCCTTTCGTCTTTCGCCTTTCGCCGATTTTCGCCTTTTTTTGACTTTCGTCTTTCGCCTTTCGCCGTTCGCTTTTTCGGGCGAAAGGCGAAATTATTATACACCCCTAATGACGGCATGTGAGGAAAAGTTGGGAAAGAAAAAATCGGGAGAGGAAAAATTGGGAGAAGAAAAGAAAGAAAAACTGAGACGAGTGGGAATAAATATAGGTATATAATTTTCTTTTGTTTATCGATAAGTAATGGATAGTTGAGTGGTTAAGTTGTTTGACTTCAACTAGCGATCATTTAGTTATTGTTAGGTTCGAGTCCATGATTAGGGACAATGTTTTAATTCGTCTATAAATAAAATTGTTCTAATTTTTCTCTAAAAAATTTATTTTTATAATTGAAAAAGTGAATTTTCCTTGCCCTAGACAACTTATATTTTCAAAAAGTTTGCCAGCGGCGCCGAAAAATGAAGAAATCTGGCTTCTAGGCCTTCCAAAATTTTCAAAATTTTTGCCTGCGGCGCTGAAAAAGAAGAAATTTGCCTTCAAGGCCTTACAAAATTCTCAAAATTTTCGTCTGCGGCGGTGAAAAGGGTTAATACAGGTTATTTCCATCACGTGATCACCGGAAATAAAATTCCTACGACTTTAATAAAATTCTTATTGGGCATCCGAATCTTCCAGAATTTCGGATCAGGATCCAGGGATTTCCCAGGATTCTCATACCCTTTTCAAGACAACGAAGGGAAAAGTCTAGAGATCGGAAATTAGAAAATCAAAGTCAAATTTTTCCAGACATATCCTCAAACTTTCCTTTAAATCCCCGATATTCCTCCAACTTTTCTAATATCCTTCTTAATCCTACAGATCCCCTGATATCCCCGATTTATTGATTTAAGAAAGTTATCTGTAGATTTGGAACACTTAACAAGGCTTTTAAATTATTTTACCAAAGGATCTCTAGACTTATAGCCTAGACTGAAAAATTTCGCCTTTCGTCTTTCGCCTTTCGCCGATTTTCGCCTTTTTTGGACTTTCGTCTTTCGCCTTTCGCCGTTCGCTTTTTAAAATGACTTTCGCAATTTCGCCTTTCGTCTTTCTCTTTTTAAAATCACTTTCGGCACACCCCTGAAACCTACTCTCCTATAGCTAAAAATTTATTTCAAATCTATTTACCCTAAATGAATGGACGCTATTTTATTCTCTAATGTTTGGACGGTGTTTCGTCGGACTGTGTTTTGGTCGGACGGTGGGTTGTCCTATCACAATTTAAAATAAAGGAAGAAAAATAAATTCTTTCAAAATTAAATTTTTAATTAAATAATTAATTAATTTAAATTGGACTTTGACTTTTTTAATTGAAAAAAAAAATAAATTTAAAGTGCAAAGGAAGGTTAGATGTTTATTTTGTTTTTAATAATTTAGAGGGCGAAAGATTAATTTTTTTAATAAATTTAGCACGAGTTAATTAATTAGTTGGGAAGTTGTTTTGCATTATGAGAGGCGTGGGTAGGCAAAACAAAGATCGAGCAAAGCGTGGAAGTTTAATTTTAAAAAATTCGTTGTCCTTCTTTCATTTTTTGCGCATGATGTCCGCATTCTAATAAATTAGGAATAATAGTTTTAGCAGAAATTTCAATCCTTGGAGGGGTTATTAAGACACGTTTGCTCGAATCTACAATAAGGAAGTCTTAATTATCCTCTTATATTTTGATAAGCAAGGAATGGGGTAATGTGAGGGATAAGAGTGATACAGTCGGACCTCGTACGAAGTAATTTAGAGGGCGAAAGAAGATCTCGTACGACATCCCACGGTTAAAATCAAAAATTAGAGTCCTCAATTAACGCCGGTTTTTCTGCCTGAAAGTTTTGTACAGATGAGGTTCTATTTTTGTTTTATCCTTCCTCTAGTCACCCTGAATACTTTGATTGCTATTTAGGTGACAATCTTTAAATTGAGGTTAGCTTGTGGCTAAATATCTAATAATAACCGTATTTTACAAGGAAGGGCGTTTCAAAAATTTTGAATAAAATTTAAAAAAACAAAAATTAAAGTCCTCAATTTAACCTTTTTTCTTTCTAAACTAGAGACCGGCGCGGGACGGGATCCCGCGCGGGATTTTGCGGGATCCCGCTCCCGCAATCCCGCACTTTTTTTGATTTGCGGGATTTTGCGGGATGCGGGATTTTTGCGGGATTATCCCGCGGGATCCCGTCCCGCAAAGCTTTTTAAAAAAAATCCCGCATGCGGGATCCCGCAAAATATTTTGCATTTTGCGGGATTTTTGAAAAATAGAGGATTTTGGCTAATGGCCTTCTAAATTCAAGAAATTTTCGCCTGCGGCGCTAGAAAAAGGAGAATTTTGGCTCGCTGGCCTTCCTAAAATCTCGAAATTTTCGCCTGCGGCGCTGAAAAAGAAGTAATTTCTATATTTGGCCTTCTAAAATTTTCGCCTGCCGCCTATGGAATCATCTCTATTTCATAAAAAAAGATTGTCCAAATTGTTAGATCACGATGATTGATTCCATTTGTTTCAGCTCAAGCCATTTAATGTGTACACCTCGTTTCAGTCTGGGCTCAGTTCAGTCGCGCGTTCTATAACTTTTGAAGGGGCCGATAATTTTTATGTTTTTTGTTCCATTTGATAGAGCATTAAATAAGCTACCATATACTAGAAAATCAAAAATCTTGACTAACTGGTAAAAAAGTTATGTTCGAAAAAGTGCCAAAAAATCACGTTTTTTTGAAAAAGTTGGTTTTTATATCATAACTTTTTTATCAATCGGTCAAAAATTCTGATTTTTTGAAAATTTGTAGAGCTTTTGATTCTCTATCCATGGTATCAAGAATATGAAAAAGTAACCGTTCCTTTATGAGTTATAAGGTCCAAACTAATTGATCC